CTCTGATGACACAAAGTTAGGAAAAAGAATGTCACTGTATATACCCTTTTATACTACTTGAACATTGAACTACGTGAATGTATTATCTAGGTTTTACGTACTTAGAGGGTAGTGATGGCTCCAGTGGTAGAATTCTTGCCTTTCATACCGGAGACCAGGGTTTGATTCTCAGTCAATGCATCTCATGTGCAGCCACCACCTGTCCATCAACAGAGGTTCACGTGTTGCTATGATGGTGAACAGGTTTCAGCAAAGCTTCTAGACTAAGACAGACTAGGATGAAAGGCCTGGTGATCTACTTCTAACAAGCTTTAAAACCCTATGGATCACAACAGTCCAATCTGCAACCAATTGTGGGACATTGCAGGACCTGACAGTGTTTCCGTTCCATTGTATATGGGGTTCCGATGAGTCGGGAGCTAATCCAGCAGCAGCTAACAACCACCACCTACTTTAAATTTTAAAATTTCATTTATTTTTAAGTAAGTTCAAAAAAAAGCTTTCCCAATTAATTCCATGCCACTACGGTCCAGTAGCCCATTTAGCTAGACAACTTTCATGAGCATTTAGCTAGACAACTTGCATGCCACTCACTTACTTAATATGTGTTACTGTGTAACTGACTCTGAGTTATCGCCTCAATAAGGCTTGGAAAAATCATTATCTCTTCCAATTGTTTTAGATTCACCACCTCCAACACCTTACAACGCTGAACAAACACTAGGCTTTTGCAGGCTGAGTGTTTCATCAGAATTCAAATGATTATTTGAGTTACAAAACCAGGTGGCATGAATCAAGAACAGGGTGTGTATTTCAAATATTAGCCTCTGGAAACACTTAGAGGACTCCAGGTAAAAAGCCATTCTGTAAATTCAAAAACCTCTAGGATTATGAATCAATTCATGCTCATAATTTTATTTCACTGAGCAGTATTTAGAGAAAGCCAAACCCATGATGCAGATGGGTCAGTGACCTTTCAGAGAATATCAAGGATAAAAATAATTCCTTTCTTGAAGAAATATTGCTTGACGTTTACCCCCACGTCCTCTGGATGTGTTAAGGCACTAAAGTTTACATTACCTGGCACAAATTTAGAGCTGGAGAAATTTACAAGTTAAAGCAGAAATTCCTAATCCTTTTGGAGCTACAACAACCTGTGCAGTCCTAGGGAGATAGTTTTAAGTTGAAAATAATAAAGAACTCTCAAATAGAGTATTTGCCCCATGATGCACTTGGTTGGATTGTGAGCTGCCTATAGCTGGAAGTTTTCAGTGTGAGTGTCAGATAAAATGGAGCTCTGGTGGTGCAGTGGTTAAACAGCTTGGCTGCTAACCAAAAGGTCGGCAGTTCAAATCCACCAGCCACTCCTTGGAAACCCTATGGAGCGTTTCTACTCTGTCCTATAGTGTCGCTATGAATTGGAATCGACTCGATGGCAACAGGTTTGGTTTTATAACATATTCATATTAAAGAGAAAACTGGAGTAGAAAATCCCTAAGGTACTTTCCAATACTGTAAGTTTTATTAAATTTTTGGATTTTATGAGATGGAATCAAAGGGAAATTGAACAGCTTGCCTTGTTGGGCCAGGAATACCACTAAATGTTGAAGCACAAACAACGCAGGTATCCATCCTTTTGGTGCTAATCTGTTGCTATCACTCCTAAGAAACTTAAAAACTAATCAAGCTCCTATCAACCTACTATCCTCCCAACTCAGAGCATGGGTAAATACCTGCACATACATGTGTGCAAACCTATGACTAAGGACAGATTTGAAAGCTGTCTAAAAAAACAGAGGGTAATTTTTAGGAACTTCATTAGTGAGTATACTTTTTATTTCTGTTGTAGGGAATAATCACGCATTCAAAAACAAGATCTTATACTCATGAAAAAATTCTCCAAAACTGACTGAAACTGTTTTTCAAACTTAATTCTAGGAGTTCATTTGGAATTTTCAAACTTGGTGTTAACATTCAAAAGATGGAAATCATTTATACAAGATACTTTTCTAAAGTATCTAGGATGACCACTTTTTAACTAGTACTGCCATGCAATTTCAATTCCTGATGTCAGGGGATAGTAAAGATTATTGTAGTTCCTCATATAAAGGCAGATGAGTATGACAGGCTGAAAGAGTGGAATGAGCTTAAGTCTCAAATAATATCACTGGATAGCGGAACCAACTGGGGTCACCAAACTTTAAGTAAGGCCCATAATAACCCTTTTTGTTGAAGCCACTTTTCACTTGCCTCCTTAAACATTAGGAGATTTAATGGTAGTCTGAATAAATAACAAACTGGTAAGAGAACTGGATCACTAGAGTACACATATTAAGATTGGCTGGCTAAACTATGTCCTATCAATCAGATTCATATTCTTTGGGTAAGTACATTTGTCTTGAGTTTCCCATTTATTTAAAACCACTTTCAAACAGTCCACTAAATTCAAGTAAAGTTGTGACACTCAATTAAAAGTCTTGTAAAATTAAAGAACCAAACAAAAAAACTAAGCAGTAATCTGTTGAAATGAAAGATCAATGATTTCCTTTAAAAATATTAGTCACTTCAATAGCTGAAGTAATTTTTTTCAGCCATTAGTCTTTAGTGTTCATTCACTTCTTTGTAATCTTATTGTTTTATGGGCTTAGAAAGATTGTTTATGCATAGCTCTTATCATTATTAATCTTTAAGAACATATTAGATAATACAACTTATTTCCTGAATTTTAAAGATACTCCTCTCCCAACTGAAATTCTCATTTCCAGTGTATTATTCCAACAATTTTAATTTATTTCTTTCTTCAACCAAGGCTATTATACTGGGATACTACTTATCCAGAAAAAAAAAAGTAAAAAGAAAGAAAGATACTTGCCCCAGACCTGTTAAACCAGTCTGTGTGACAGGCAAAAAAAAAAAGATTGTTCTAGTCACTAACTGAAAAGGAAATAGAGTGTTACATAGTGATCTACACTTGGGTCTGTTCACAGCACTTGAGAGAGGGCAACATCAGATGACAGAGTTCTCTCTGGGGCTGACTTTACAATGAACTTTAAGTTCATTAAGTGAAATGCCACCCATTTCCCAACCTTTCTTCCCACTTTAAAAACAATTAGATCTTACGTTTGATGTATTTCTAGTCTGCATTGGTAAATCAAAAATGAACAAACAAAACACACACACACATAAAATTTTGCAACACAAATAAACACAGCCAGCTTCATAAATTAATACTTTGTCTATGATATCTTTCATCTGTCACTTTACAATGTTTGTTAATTAACTCCTGTGTTCACAACAATCCTCCAGTTATGCATTAAATAATATTTAGAAACGAGGAAACTGAAGCAAGAGAAGTGGAAAGAAGCTCAAGATCTACCTGGATACTGCTAACAGCTGTTCTGCTCTATTAGACCACAATGCTTTCCAGAAAAGTACCTGTCAAATAGGCAGCATAGAAATCCTTCTCATCACAGATTTCCAAGACATTCCCAACAAGAAGCAAGAAACAAATCATAGTATTCTTACCGCCCCTCCCCCCTCCACGAGAGGAAATCATGTAACCAAAGAAAGCATGCTTCTCAATCTGCTTTACAGGACTGAGGAAAAAAAAAATCAATGAATGAAACCAGAGAGAGACTCAAGGGAGAACTTCTGAGACTGAAGAGAGAGGTTATAAGGTTTATTCTGCACATTGGGAAATTCCTGAAACACTGCTTAGTTACAAAAGTTATCAGAAGTCCTAGGTTCTTTTGATTTAGTTCTTAAACCCCCAAAACCAAACTGTCTGAAATTAAACTATTTCCCCTAAGTAGTCTCATTCTTCTGAGTGTCTATAAATCCCACAAAGTCTACATGAGGTTCCTGATTTGTACCGCTGATTCCAAGTGTCCACTAGTGTCCACCTGCCCTGCTCCAAATCCAAAAATAATGTTGGCCTTGACCCTGGCAGGACCTTCACGCATATTCTCCTCTGAAATCATTAGCCTCACATCACCTTTCTAAGTCCTATCTCCAACAGCTTCCGTTGAGCAGTATGGCAAACGAGCAGGAGACAGAGTAATAACAGGCACAAACATTTACTACGTCCCTCACAGAAAACATAAAATCCTGCGAGTAGGGACAACCCACCTTCCCAAAATACAAAGACACAGCAAGAGCTGAACCCCACCACACCTTACTCCGCACGAAAAAGGAAGAACAGACTTTCTATGCAACTAGATCCAACCCTCAACATCTCCCTCTCACGTGGGTCTTCTCCCTTTTTCCCGAGCCCAGGATCAGAGCGGAGAGAGAGGACTGGAAGGAATCACACCACGCCGGCACTTAGGGGTGGGTGGATGGCGAGCTCCAGGCACACACCCTAGCCCCTTTCTAGGGGCCCTGTGCTATACACCTCCCAGTTCCGGGGTCTGAGAACCCCACCGAGATCTCATGCGCCTACGTGTCTCCCAATCTGAGGCCTCAAGGCCCCAGAAATGCGGGAAGGACAAGGCTGCCTAGTGCAGGGTCTGGAGGGGATGGAGCCCGGGCCGCGTGCAAGCGGACGCTGGGAGGTGGCCCACTGCCTGCTTGCCGCCGCCCCTCCCCGGCACTAGCTTCTCCAGGTCCCCGATCGCTGGCTCTGGGGCGGCCCTTAACCTCACCTCAGGGTGGCGGCGTCCGCAATCCGGCGGTCTGGGAGACCCTGCGCGGAGGCGGTACTGGGCGGGAGGAGACGCCGGCAGCTCCGGCGATGGCTGACAAGCGCGGAGCACCAGGCCGGCCAGGCACACGGGAAAGGGGCGGGGCTTCACGGGAGGCAGCCCCGCCCCTACCTCCCACCTCAGCCCCCGAGCCCCATGAGGTGATTACGTCCGGGGTTACTTCAGGCCGTTCACCTCGGACCCCGCTTGGGGATGAGGCTTGGACCAGCCTGCGGGAGGGGAAGGGGGCGAGACGCGGGGCGGAGGGCAGGGCGGCAGCCAATGGGAGGGCGGCGCGGGGCGGGGCCACGTGAGGCGATGCCGATGGTCCGAGAGCGGCTCTACCATTCCCAGCTGAGCGGCGAGAGGGCGGGCGGGTCTCTGGCGGTTGCCGGGCCCTCGGGCCTCGCCAAACCTTCTACCGGGTAGACTCTTCCTCCCCCGAGAAAGGGGCGTGGGGAAGGGGCCCCACGTGCATGCCCATCGGGGTAAAGGCGCCTGGGCCCCAGAAAGTGAGGGGCCAGAGTCAGCCGTAGCTAGGGGAAGGGAACTCGGAACCAACACGGACTGAGTAGGGTAGACGGTGTGCGGACCTTGTACGGATCTTATCGTGTTTAATCCCAAATAACCTGAAGAGGCGTCCATGAATTGCCCAGGATTACACAGGCTGCTTTCCAAGTCAGTGCAGTCTAACCCCTATTCTGGAACTCCATATCTAGCCGCCTTGACTTGGTTCTCAGCCCCAAAGCAGCCCACCCTAAAGAGGTCTGAGGTACTGGATCCTGGAGCCTTAGAAAAGAGAGCTCACTGAGATGGGCAGTGTTCCAAAGGACAACAGTCTTCTGCCTGCCTCAAGAAGGGAAAATAGGTGACAGCAGTTTGTGATTTCTCTGATTGGCGAATGCCTCCCATCCTCCAGGGTGGTTTACACCAAGCCTTTGAGATGGGTCAACCAATTTCTCTAGTTTTGCCACTTACTTCATAGCAATGCTTTCTTGGTGGTTGTTTGTTAAAAATTAATTAATTAATAGTAACTAGGGGATGGAAGGAGTCCGAACACATAATACAGTCATTGGGCAGGAAGACAAAGAAAATTGGAGGTGGGCCTTTTGCATGTCAGAAGGAGTGAGTTCTAACCCCTTCCAAGAAATTATGGAACACCCAGAGTACTTTCCTGGTCCTTACACAAGCAAGTGATACAGGCCAGAAGTGCAGAGGATAACAAGAAGTTAGGAAGAAGTTCTATGCCAGAGGGCACAAAGTGAATAAAATAGAAATACACATCCCAGGTCAGAAGTTCTTGGGTGGAAGCTGAGGCAAGAACAAAGAAGGTGCTGGTCTACAAGGAACAGTACGTATTCATCTAGGAAACCTCATAGCACCACTAAGTCGTGGCTTCTCCAAGAGTTTATCAACCCACTTTTAAAAGTTTTTGTGTGCTGTGCAGTTGATTCTGACTCATAGTGGCCATATAGGACAGAGGAAAACTGCCCCATAGGGTTTCCAATGCTGTAATCTTTATGGAAACAGAATGTCACATCTTTCTCCAGGGGAGCGGCTGGTCTGAGTCCTTAACCATTGTACCACCAGGGCTCCTTTTTTAATAACAGGGATTAGAAGCAAATTGGGAAAGGAGATACGGACTTTACAGAGCAGTGACCCATATTTCACAATGACTGCCCTCCTGGGATGCAGCTGTCAGCTAAACACAGGAAAATTCAGAACTTAAAAAGAAAGATACTTGAGCAACACTTCCTGGTTTAACAAGATGTTTGACTTGACTGAATAAAAATACGGCCTGGGAAGCGGGACACCTTGCCTCTCCCTAATAGTGCTATCTGAAGCTGGCATGAAGGAAATAACTTTAGATAGAACTAAAAACCTTGAAGTTGCCTCTTCTATTTTTCGTCTACCTCTCCTAGCTCCTAATAATAGGAACTCTTTCCCCAGAATTCTTTCTTAACAATGTTGCTGTTTATTAGCCTAAGGAGCACTGCAAAACCAAGGGTTTACCTTCAATAACTGTCCCTATATGAAACTTTAAGGAGCCCTAGTGGCTCAATGGTTAAGCGCTTGTCTGCTAACTGAAAGGCTGATGGTTGGAATCCACCAGCAGCTCTGAAGCAGAAAAGACCTGACAATCTGCTGCTGTAGAGATTACAGCCTAGGAAGCCATATGGGACAGTTCTACTCTGTCCTATAGGGTCACTATGAGTTGGAATCAACAATATGAAACCTTAATAAGACCTTGCATGTCCTGGTTTTGACCTCACTGATTATTTGAAGAAATTGAGCTCTCTAAATAACTAGCCAAGGAAAGACATAATGAAAGCGCTACAGTGAAAGAAGGATGAGTTATGATGCACCAAGACCACTTATGTAGCATCTAATAATCTAATTGTTACCATCACCAAATGTTAGGACAACTGGGCAGAGAATGGGCAAGGAGCTGTGTCTTTAAGACAGTACGCCTGGAATTTCAACAACCTCTAAGTGTTGTCTGGTGCATGCCACAACCTGCCCATCTCTACTGTAGGCTCTTTAGAGCTGTTTCATGAGTTCTTGCCATGCAAGCCATTATGTCTATAAGAGGCAGGGGAGGAGAGCCAAAGGGCGGGAAGAATTTACAAGATTAAAATTGGAAGAGAAGGGGGTGAGTGGTACATTTCTAGAAGCTAACTGTTGTTGTTATTGGGTGCCATGGAGTCATTTCCAACTCATAGCAACCCCATGTGACAGAGAAGAAGTGTCCCATAAGGTTTTCTTGGCTGTAATCTTTACGGAAGCAGATTGCCAGGTCTTTCTCCCGTGGAGCCACTGGGTAGGTATGAACTGCCAACCTTTCAGTTAGCAGCTGAGCACTTAACCATTGCACCACCAGGGCTCCTTGAAGCTAAAACCAGAGGTCCCAAATATCAAATGCTTCCTGGTTTTTCAAGATGGTTGCATAAAAGCATCAGGGATTTGTCCTGAGCATCCCAGCTACCTTACATCAAAGATGGTCTCACCTTTCTGTGGAGAAAGTCAGAAAAGTCTAAGAGGGGTCCTGTCTTTAAGGTGATTACAATCTAGTTGGGAAAATAAAACTAACACTAGAACAGTGTCTACTTCTAGCTCCTTAGATTACAGCAATGTGAATTTGTAAGAGCCATAGATAGGAAGAGGATAAATTCTCATAAAAATGATAAATTATCATTTAAAAAAAAAAAAAAACCAGAAATACATAAACAATATGCATGTCACTGTCCAGGTAGCTCCATTTAGCACTTTATTATCAACTCTAGTTTAGAGCAGTGTCTCTCAAAAAGTATGTCCTACTGACCACCTAAATTGCAATCACTGGGGTGTTCATTAAAAATGTACATTCCCACATCCACAGCAGATTTTCTTTTTTAAACAATCAACCCTGGTAATGATTCTTCCTGAATCATTTCCACTATTATTCCCCTCTTTGCTGCCAGTGTTTCTGTTGAACAGCAATGCCTCCTACAGCTGCACTTCCAGGACAGGAAAGTTTATCAGATAAGGCTTGAGTGGAATCAAGAGAGGAAAGAAAGTGCCTTAATATAAAAAAGAACCATAAAGAGCCACTTGTCCTGGTGTCTATCTGACCATAAGTGGCAAGGTCAGTGATAAACCTTTAAGACAGAGGACAGAGGAAATACTGGATATTACTTCCCAGAGGTCCCTAATATATATAACATACATTCTCATCTGGCTTCTAGCACTTAAACCATGCTTATTCTTACTCCTCTATACCTTTGCTTATGCTGGCCGACTCACTGTTCTTCCCTCTTAATTTTCTGACCTCTTTCTTCCCAGAATTCTTGTAGCAATATGGTCACCACTGCATGGTTTAGCATTTAATTATGCTATAATTTTTTTATGTGCATGGTGGGTTTAGCTCTACAGCTAAATTTTAATAATCTTGAAAGCAGAGAGCATTTCTTATATTCTGATACCCACCTCTATAGCTCTTAGAGTATGACTAGGTACATTAGTATGTGCTTCACTGAAATAAAGATTAACTCTACCTGAAAGGCCACTCTGCTCCTGATGTCTTCTTTTCCGTCTTCACACTACCTCTAGGAGGCAAAGCCTCCAGTAGGATACTTAGAGGTTTTGCAGATGGACAGACTTCATCAAGAAAGTAATTGCCCAGAATTGTGGCTTCAGTTATAAGAGGAAAAGAACGCACAAAGGCCTTAACTGAACACTATGTCCCTTTGCTCTGGTCAATTATTCAGGTTTGTCAGAGATAAGAGCATGAGGAAACCTCACACTATAAGGTCAGAAAATGTCCTCAGGGAGGCCACTTTTTAAGTCTGGTCATAATGATGAAAGGCCGGATTACACAATGAAGGAGAGCATACATAGTGCAAACTCACCATGATGTTTTCACATGGACAGCTGGGTTTTCACATGGCATTTCAGCTCTCCCTCCCCCCTTACTAGCCAATCCTGAACACTTCCACACTCCGCATTTTAGGCAGTCACCAAACCCTACCTTCCTTCTCTCTCCATGACACCTCCAATACCTTTTTTTAAAAACTCCTTTTCTAAATTCCACGTACCTTACACCTAAAAATACCTGAAGAAAGTTTAAGGGTCCCTTTTATCTAAAGGCAGAAAAACGGACAAGATGACTCCGTAGGTCTTGCCCAATCCTGGGATTCTGACATTTTATATAATGCAGTTTTACAACTTTTCCATCTCTGACCTCACTCCCCTCATGAAAGTGCTCCTGCCAAGTTTCTTTCCTGCTTCTATCCTTACCTTCTCTTCAGACTTCTCCAGTGTGTCCATTACTCCTATATCTGACTCAGCTTTTTCCTGCTATATTTTTAGGTCTCCACCTATCTACCCCAGGGGTATTGTTATTACATATGAAACAATAAATAATAAAATACAATATTAACAATTTTTGTACAGCCTTCACTTTCAAGGAAAACCAAGCCATTGCTCAACTTCTTTGTATCATATTCCTTCAGTCCCAAAGTTTTCCTATACCATAACTTGGACCAGAAGATTTTACAATCTCCCTGTTTTTTTGTTTTTGTTTTTCAATTATTTTTATTGTACTTTAGATGAAGGTTTACAGAACAAACTAGCTTCTCATTAAACAATCAGTACACATATTGTTTTGTGACATTGGTTACCAACCCCCTGACATGTCAACGTTCTCCCTTCTAGACCTTGGGTTCCCTATTACCAGCTTTCCTGTCCCCTCCTGCCTTCTAGGCCTTTCCCCTGGGCTTGTCTGCACCTTTAGTCTCATTTTGTTTTATGGGGCTGCCTAATCTTTGGCTGAAAGGTTGAATCTCAGGAGTGACTTCATTACTGGGCTAAAAGGGTATCAGGGGCCATACTCTGGGGGTTTCTCCAGTCTCTGTCAGGCCAGTAAGTCTGATCTTTTTTTGTGAGTTAGAATTTTGTTCTACATTTTTCTCCAGCTCTGTCCAGGACCCTGTATTATGATCCCTGTCAGAGCAGTCAGTGGTGGTGGCCAAGCACCATCTACTTGTGCTGGTTTTTGTCTTTTTTTTTCTTTTTAATCTCATCTCTGGTTAAGATACTAGACCAGCAGGCAGAAAGCTATCTCTGCAACACAAGTCTGGTTTGTCAGTGGACCCACTGTGCTCACATGCCTGATTTTATTAATGAAAACAACAACAAATAATTAAGGATAAAGAAAACAAAAAATGAATAAAAAGGAAATGTAGCTCAAATCAATGAATGAAATAGCCATAATCTATTGAATACCATAGTTTGGGGGATGAATATAGGCAAATAGAACTAGGTATTGGTAATGTAAGATGAAGACACCTTATGAGCAGCAGGGACTTTGCCTTCTCTGTGCTCTGTATTTGGAAAGCGCTTGAGCTCTTTAATCAGATAGGCCAGGCTTTAAATCCTGACTCTATCTAATAAGCTCTGTGATCTTGAGCAAATGATTCCCTTTTGGAGCCTGTTTCCTTTTTTATAAAGTCAAGATATAATACCTACTTTGTAGGGTTGTGTTTTGGATTAAGTGCGATAACCAAAATGTAAAGCTTGTAGCACAAAGCTTGGTATATAGGCACACAGAAAATATTACTTCCCCCTTTCTCTCCTATTTTGTACTATTGTTCAGTAAAGAAACAAATACCCTATGGATGATCACTTGATTCAAGCATGATTGTGTTATTAAATCTACCCCATCCCACCCATATCCCAGGGTAACAGCATGGGATCAGGGACCTAGGGATAATCTGAATCCTTTATCCTTACTTGGAGGAAGCAAGTAAACAGGAGAAATGACTGTGGCCTGAGCTTCTGGGAACCATCCAAAGGGTTGGCACTGTGAGGGTACGCCTGGCTCTGCTCAAGCCAATGGTTGTGCCATACTGGAAAGGCTCTTTGGCCTCCTTGGAGAGAAATGGAACAACAGCAACTTTCATCTACTGCAGATGGGAGTGTAAATGGGGACAACCCCTTAGAAAACAATAAAGCTGAACCAAACCCTGCATACCCTGCAACCCAGCTTCTAGTTCTAGGTTTATACCCTGGAAAAGCTCTTTCAAATGTACCCCAGGAGCATTGTTTATTATGGCCCCAAACTGGAAACAGACCAAATGTCTCATAGCAGTAGAACGGTAAATAAATTGTGGTACATTCATAGAATAGAATATTATAAAGCAATGAGAATGAATAACTATTGCTACATGAAACTATTTGGATGAATTTTATAAACATAATTTTGAGCAAAAGAAGACAGACATAAAAGTAACGTATGCTTCCTGTTACATAAAGTTCAAAACCAGGCAAAGCTCCTTCGTGATGTTAGTGTTAGAAGTCTGCATAATAGTTCCTCCTGATGGTGGGCAGTGACTAAGAGAGGACATGAGAGGAACTTCTATATTTACTTCATTTTACTTAAAAATACATAGTCTGTTTCCATTTATGTGAAGTTCAAAAACAGGCAAAACAAAATAAAACTAAAAATGTTGTTTAGTGATAGATATATAGATAATTCACTATTTTAAAAAAGTAAAATAATGATTGCAAAAACCAGGGTAGTGGTTATGCCTGAAAGGAGGGAAAGGAGTGTGATCAGAGGGACGTACATAAAGAGCTTATATGATACTAGCAATGTTCACTTTCTTAATTTGGGTGATGGTTACATGGTTTTCACATTACTGCTATTATTATTATGTTCTATACACTCTTCTGTATGTATGATATATTCTACAATAAAAAAATTAAAATAAACCAAAACAAATGAACGAAAATCATATACACCCTTAAAAGAACGAGTAGCAGAGTGTGGCAACCCTTCGCAGGAGTTAAGATAATAATTTTAGAGCCGGAAGAGGCCTTTGAAGCCATCTTGCCCAATCACCTCATTAAAAAAACCGAAACAAAGGTCCAGGGAAGTTAAGTGACTTGCTCAAAGTCATTCAGTCAATTAGAGAGCCTAATCTAAAACCCAGGGAGGCCTCCTGGCTTCCTGTCAAGTGCTCCTCCCACAGACCCATGCTGATTCATCCCTTCAGTCCTAGTTTCCTGCTTTCTTCCAGAGGTCATATCTCTGATCTATACACATCACAGAACTCGTCTTTGTTGTAACTTTTTCTGGTTTTCCTCTTTTTTTTTCGTTTTGATGTTTTTATTGAGAGGAAAGGAGATCAGGAGAGAGAGCCTTTTCTCCACAGATATCCCAAACACTTGGAAAACCAGTCAAAATATCTAGTGGTAAAGAAATAGTTTTGGGTCTTTTTCTCTGTATCACCCAGCATGGTCTGTTCCAACACGCAGGCTGACTTTTGGGTCTCTTGAGTCACAAAGGAACAGGGAAGGATCTAAGAGTGGTTAAAGGAAAAATCTCTCCACTTAGTCTTTGGCCAAGTACAAAGGTTTCTTTTGGGAAAAGTGAGCTCTTCTGCCACCTTGTGACACAGAATGAGAATAGCAAGCCCTCAGATCCTTCCCTACCCCCTGCACCAAGTGGCAAAGACTGTAATGTATCATCTAGGAACTGATCTATAGCAGATTTCAAATACAGTGACAGGGAAAATGTATCTGATATCATAAGGGAGCAGAAAATGATGTTAAGGTAATAGTAAGCAAAAGCCATGAAACCCAGGAATTCTGCCCTACCCACTGAAGAGAATCAACTACAGGCAACTGTAATAGGGAAAAAAGAGCAAGGTAGGGCTCCTCTGGATCAATAAAGATTTGAGGCATGTATGTCCCCACTAATCACATATGTCCCCATTTTTCTGCTCCTTTTACAGAAAAACTTCTTGAAAAATTATCTACATTCCTTCACTTCAAATTCCCTTTCACCCTACCCCTACTTCCACCAGTCCACTGAAGCTGGTTTTACCAAAACTGTCAAATCCAGCAGATATCCTGCTCTCATTATAACAACCTATCAGCATTTGCCCAACTGACCACCCCTTACTTGAAGTACTCTCCTCTCTTGGCTCCTGTGACATCCACTCTCCTGGTTTTCTTAGTTCAGATGTTACCTCTTCAGAGAAGCCGTTCCTGACCACCCTATTTAAAAGTGGCCTCTGCCAGTACATAATCCTTCATCTTATCACGCTGGTTATTTCTTTATAGCAACTATCACAATATTTAATTATGTATGTATTTGTATATTATTTATTATTAGCCCTTATATACTGTTTTATTTTTCAACTATGTTTATTGTCTGCTTCCCACTGTTCCATGAGGACATGGACTTTGCCTTGCTCACTGACAGAATAGTGCCTTGACATACAGAAAGCCCTCAATAAATACTTGTTGAATGAATTAATGGATGAAAGGCACTATGGCTGAATGTCTAGCACTTCCTCTCCCCTTCCACATTTCAGGCAGCACATTGTCTTTCATTGACATCTCTTCCCTTTCCATTTCCCACCAGGATGTCCCTTGATGCTCAATTTAGCTGGATTTCAACCAGCATTAAAATGCCAGGAAACAGGGTGATACTTAGAATATGATTTGACTCCTATCTCATGTACTGGAAGTCCCTTGAACCAAGTTCACCTGCATCATTATCAATCAGAGTTTCAGCTTCCAGAACCTTCTTACACATAGGCAATCCCATGTAGGCTCCAATGGAGTACATTTACAATGGGCAAAAGATTGCAGAGCCTCTGGACCAAGACAAAGGATCTGAGTAGGCCTTCATGTCTACTTTATGATCCACCTAGCTACACCATCATGAAGTCTATGTAATATTACACTAGATGTATAATCTTTACTAAAAGATAAAATTTTAAGAAAAATCTTTAACAATAGTTATCAGTATAGGAAACCTTCCCAAACTGCAGATTGTACCACTCTTCCTGACCTCTCAGCCCAACAGTCATGTTCACTTCACTATTCAGGAGTGTGAAAATGTGCAAGACTAGATAGGTATGCTTGTGCTAACATGAGTTTACATGTACAGCTGTGAATAAATTCTAGAGATCATCTGGTTGGAACTCTCAATTTACAGAGGAGAAAACTGAAATCCAAAGAGGTCAAGTAATTTCCCCAAGGTGATGTTATTAACAGGGTCTGTACTAGAACCCAATTCTATGGATACCTAGTTCAGTGCTCTCCACTGTAACTCACTGACTCATTCAGTCCTAGTTTCCTGCTATATTCTACAGATCACATCCTTTAATAGGAGTCTCCACATCTCTTTATGTCTTGTATAAATCTATATGCCTCTGTCAGTGAGCACGCATATGAATGTCTACATGTCTCTCAGCAAGTATTTGTAAACCATACTGCTGGATGTTAATGCCCTTTCTGCTGGGGAAATCTCTATGTAATTACAGTTCTGTCGGCACCAGCAATGAAGTGAGGGGAAGACCTTCTGAGTCAATCATTAATAAACAGACTTGGTCCTCTCTCCAATCAGCTCTATTCCTGGGTCTTCAGGAAATGGGGGAAAATAATAAGGGTGGAACCAGACTCTCCCACAGTCAAAACTTGATCCCAGAGCAGTGACAGCAGCTAAAGAGTGGGCTATAAGGAGCTGTGACAGATTTAGCAGACTACTGTCTCTGCAAGGAGTATGTCAAGCTACCATAGACACCATCTTTGTCTTCAGCCTAATTGCATCCTATGATGCCAACAAGAAAGGTAAGTACTTCTCTAGTCTGATAGCCTGGAAAATTCATAGCAAGGCCTTGTAAGATCCATCCAAGACAGTGCCTGGGCTTTCTTCTGCCAGACAGAGATATAGCCAATACCCAGCAGGTGATGCTTTCCAGATGTCATCCCATGTATCCTCTTGCTTCTAAGCAGGACTGCAACTTGTTCAACCCAGAGCAATAGCTGTCTGTTTTATGATGAAAGGTCTTCACAGAATGTGATGCATTCTTCTGTTTTGTTCACGTAATTAACATTAAAATTTCCCTCACTGTTAGATGGCTTTCTTACTGAAGGGTGCTGTTACAGTTTTAGTATTGTCATCACCTAAGACTCTCAAATTCATAATCCCTCATAGGATGTTGTCTTCCCCTTTTTAAGGTGATTCATATATCCAAATTATCAGATGGGGATGCTCTTGGGTGGGGAGAGCTAAGGGAAAGAGTTAGTGGGGCTGGAACGGCACCATTTGCTTCTCATTGATAACTGTTTATAACATTTTTCAAAATGTTTAAAACATTTCATCTCTAAAATTAGCTAATTAAAGTTAAGGCCAAACAGCATAATGTGCAGCAGTAATAAATTTAACAAAAGATGAAAACTCACAACACCCTTGTGAGTCATGTACCAAAAAGCATAAATACGACCAGAGATACCTTGGATTCTACACTTAATAAACTTATACACTCTTAATAGACAAAAGTTGTCTTTAATACCAAAAGGCAGATAGACTATGAAGAAAAAAAGAAATTAAGTAGTGTCTAGGGGAATAGGTTGCTTAGTCTTTTATTAACTTAACTTCACTTAATTCTATTTCACCTTTCTTTCTCCTAAAGGTAAAAGGGTGATACTCACATTTTCTTTATACTAGGCTAACTAATACTTGTGCATATTTGGCTGTACGTTTTAAAGTCTTTTTGGGGAAGTTTCATCTTCCTAATTAGATTGCAAGTTTTATGAGAAATGATTGCATTGTTTTTTATCTCCCCCTCCAGTGCCCAGAATTCTAAAGGATAAGTACCTGGTAAATCCTGACCTTTTTGTTTTCTAGATACCTCAGAACTCAGAGACAGCAGCTGCCAAGTGGAACTGCTGGCTGGGCTCTTCCCAAAGGATGTGAGAAACATCAGGGATACGCCAATGCAAGGTAGGGAATGGGCCCTTCCTGGAAAACTACTTTGCCATTCCAAGGAATTTCACCTTTAAAACTTGCTTTGTCTCCTCACTTCCTAGCCTAGATCTTAAATATCTTATTTTAAAGATATGTATCCCCCTAGGAGGCTTTCTGGAAACCAATTATTAAATTAACTGCTATTGCCTAGGGCATGATTATATAAAACAAACAGATGGGGGTAAAGAAAGAGAAGGAACCAGCACTCAATCTGCATCAAACAAAATAATCTGTGAGCATTTATTTCTCTGTGCTGAATTCACGGCAGTCACTCATTTTCATGGAACTCCATGGCAGGAAGGAGGAAAGCTGGGCTTGTATATTTAATATCAAAAACACATGCTGAGGAAGAAATAAACTAAAAAAAGGAGAAGGTGCAACAGTGGAGTTCAACAGGGTCATAGTGGAAGTAGTTTAGTTGGGCAATATTCAGATTAAGAACCAGCTTCATTTCTCTGTCTGACTTTTCTCCTTCCAGAAGCCCAGGCAGAAGCCAAAAGGGCCACATTCATCCAGAATCGGACTCTGGCTACCCTGCAATGCTCTGGGAACAAAGTGGAAGTCAAGCTTGTGTATTCGGAGAAGAAGCCAAAGGTCAAGTATACGCTGAAGAACTTGAGAGTCACTGCTGCTCCCAACAGAAATGGCTCTGTCTCCCCAAGCTGTCACCTAGCCACTACATGCAAGTTTCAGACTGGATCCCTTCTGACAGGCAAAGGTGAGACTGGAAAAGGAGTTGAAGGTAGGCACTGACTTTTAGTTGACATCCTTGAAGGTTTAGTAGCAGCTAAAGCCACAAGGAAATGGATTCCCCTCCGTCCCCTACTTGGGCAAATCTTATCCTCTCTGAGACTCATTTTTCTAATCTCTAAGGATCCTTCTGGCCCTGACATGCTGTGATTTTCATACGATCTACATTTCTGATGGGTTTCTTTTAACAATAATTATTTGAATTTTTTTTTTAAGATTTTTATTTGTTTTGAAGCATACAATTAAATATTCAAACAGCACAAATTTATGGTGAAAAGTAAGTTTCCCTCCTACTCCTCTCTCCATGCTCCAGTTCTCTATCCCTAAGGCAACCACTATTACAATTTATTGTATTTCTTTCCAGAGATACTCTAAGCATGTATGTTGTTGTTGTTGTGTGCCATCGAGTCAATTCCGACTCATAGTGACCCTACAGGGCAGCGCAGAACTGCCCCATAGGGTTTCCAAGGAGTGGCTGGTAGAGTTGAACTGCCGACCTTTTGGTTAGCAGCCTGAGCTCTTAACTACTACACCAGTGCTCCAAGCATGTATGGATGTATATATTTCAAAAACATAAATGGTACAGGAGGCCTGGTGGCACGGTGGTTAAGCGTTTGACTGCTAACCAAAAACATAAATGGTAGCATGCCATACACACTGTTCTGCACCTTGCTTTTTCCCACTTAACAATGTATCTTATAGATTGTTCCATATCAAGAAGTATAAATTTGACATGTTCTTTTTAACAGTTGTACAGTATTCCATTGGATTGCTGTAGTATAATTTATTTTACCAGTCCCCTACTGATGGATATTTTGGTTGTTTCCAATCTCATAAATACAAACAATACTACAAGCAATGACCTTACACATTCTTCGTGTACTTGCAATATATCAGTAGGATAAATTCCAAGAAGCAGGATTGCTGTGTCAAAGGTATTGATAGATATTGCTAAATTATCCTCCATACAGATTTTTCCATTTTGTCCTCCTACCAACACTGTGTGAGACTGCCTGTTCCCCCACCGCCCCCAGGCAGTGCTCTTGACCTTCTTCACCTTATGTTTCTCTGCTTCTGCCCTCCTTTCCTTCTTCCACCCATTCTTTTTGTCAGGTAGTTTATAATCCATGAAATGGTCTTGGCAGCTCCCCTTTTATATCCAGGCAATCCCCTAGATACTACTGCTGCAGTGCTGGAAAGATAAAATAAAAATTGGCACATTTAGAGAAACTAGGGGTTCACATGCAGAATTACCGAGAAAAAAAAAAAAACTTTAAAAACTACAGTTGATTTAGGGACTACAGGTTGGGAAATAATCTTAGAATGTGGCCTAGGTACAGTAAATTACATATCCTCTTATGACTTGAATTTTGACTCACTTCATTATATTTTCTAAAATTTCACCATAACAATTTGTGTGAAAAATAAACTCTTGAAAACTCACTTAACTTTGTTAGTTAATATTAATGCAAATTAATTCGATCTAATTGCTTTCCTTTTAATACATGGCACCCCCTTAAGTCAATGATGGCTATGATAGGAAGTAGTGGACTTAAGTCAATATGGAGTCTGGACAACTCTATGGGGTGGATCTTCCCTGATATAGGGCTAGGCATTGTGGAACTCAGGGCAAATAAAGACAACAGCACTCAGAAATTTGGGACAAGGAAAACTGGAGGTTGAATGTAGGGGGGAGAGATGTCAAAGATCAATTTGATCTAATTTGAAATTTTGCCCTTGTTCTAGATTAGAATCCAGAGAAGGAAGATAATCCCTTCATCCTTCCTTTATGACATGGTGATTGGTTCCCAGATCAAATGGCTGTTTGTGGGTTAGTTTGGGGACCTAATCATCATTCACCATACATTTCTATGGAATAACGATGAATTCCAAACCACCACTTTATGAATGGACTTTCTGAAACATAACCTCAATTATAAGTTAAAAACTGCCTATTCTAAATTTGGAGCCCTGGTGGCGCAGTAGTTAAGAGATTAGCTGCTAACCAAAAGGTTGGCAGTTAGAATCTACCAGCTGCTCCTTGGAAACCCTATGGGGCAGTTCTACTCTGTCCTATAGGGTCACTATGAGTTGGAATCAGCTGGACAGCAATGGTTTTTTTTTTTTTTTTTTTTAATTCTAAATTTAAACCTGCATTGAGTACCAGGTTGTAACAGACTCCAAATAGGGTTGAAATAAAAATTAGGTAAATGGTCACACTTACAAGGTTATAGAAGAGATGCCCTCTGAAGTTACCACACTATGGATGTGATTGATTAGTCTGCATAGGAAGATGTCCCGGAAACAGTCAGAAGACAGTTCATCAAAATGTTCTCAGAGTATAATAGGAATTTTAAACTGTAAGGATGAATAACTTTTGACAAGTTACTTAATTTCTCCAATGCTCAATTTCTGTAGTTACAGATGAGGGATTTGACTAAACCAAAAACCCACTGCCATCAAGTCAATTCTAACTCATAGCAACCCCACATGGTTTCCAAGGCTGTAAATCAATACGGGAGCAAACTGCCACATCTTTCTCCCACGGAGCCGCTGGTGGTTTCAAACCATCGACCTTTCAGTTAGCAGTCGATTGCTTTAACCACTGTGGACTCCTTGGGATTTGACCGTTGTTGTTGTTGTTAGCTGCCATCGAGTCGGTTCCGACTCATAGTGACACTATGTACAACAGAATGAAACACTGCCCGGTCCTGCACCAACCTCACAGTCGTTAAGCTTGAGCCCACGGTTGCAGCCACTGTGTCAATCCATCTCGTTAAGGGTCTTCCTCTTTTTTGCTGACCCTCT